AACAAGGTTAAATGATTTGACTAAAGTACACAGATAATTAATGGTCAGGCTAAAGTTAAATCTATTGTTAAATAATTACCTTGGAAGGAATCCATTTTGATTAATTTACCACATTGCTGAATGAGTTGATACAATACAAAAGTTTGATTTGGGGGTCAGTCTAGCCTTTTGAAATGAAGGAGCCCTTTTAATGTTTTCAATTTGCCCTCTTTTCTATCATTTTATTGTCATTTCATTAGTGGACAATTGACCGCGCCATTGGATGAGGAAAGTTGACTTTTCTCTATGTGCCAGCAGAATTGGGACTTCTTATCTTTTTCCCAGAGAAATAAGCAATAGTAACCCTAGTAAATGAAGGAAACCACATAATGACAGAAGCACAGCAAGTTATTCGACATAAGAGACACTTTCTCCTTCACACTGATMTAAAACATCACCTCCTCTCTATTGTTCACAGAACCCCTCTGAAGCTTTCAAGACAAAGAAGGCAGCTGACCACCGTCTTTCTGTTTTTATTTCTTTTCTAAGCCCAATCAATAAGAATCTTCAGAATCACAGCAACATAAACATATTGACTCAAACCCTTTGCAAATTTGTAATTATGTATTTCTTTGTGTGATCATTTGACCAAAGTCAGGTGAGTTCACTAAAATGTTAACCTCCTTGAAGACAGTGAATATATCTTTCTTCCACTATATTATATATCCTGCTCCTTACAGAGGTGCCAGGAAACCTCAAATTCATATTAATATCATTGAACAAATATTCTGCTGTTGTMAAGGTGTAGTAACTACATCAGCAATATCAGGATCCACCAACCATGTTGGAGAAACAAATACTTAGACCTCCATTCAGACCTACTGAATCAGAAGCTCTAAGGCTAGAGCTCAGCCATCTGTGTCTGAACATCCCCAGAGAGGATTCTAATAGATGCTATTTGAGATTTTCTTCTCTGAAAGTACAAGTTGATTTCTAACCATGGGTGGTCACATAGATGTGCAGGGCAAATCATGTCCAAAAACGGCAGATAACTATCTGGATATCGGGAAACAATGTGCTGATCCAGCTTGGATGCATTCCTATTTGATTATATCCTTTTCTGTGGAATCTAATAAGTTCTATTATGAAACTATTGAGTTAAGTTCTTATTTCCCACCATCAAGAGAGAACATTGTCCAGACCACTTAGGAGAGCGATACCCTAGTCTTGGTACTCTAATCCCTGGAGAACCAGCCAGCAAGATTGCACCTTCTCTTGTTCATACTAGTTAGACAAAACCGGGCAAGTGAACTAGAGTTCAACATCCTCATAGCTCCTCCCAAGCAGTTTAGAAGGAATGGTCTCCATTCTGTCTTTATTTGGGTCTTTGGGGGTGCTTGCTAAATAGGACTCTCACCAGAGCTGCAACCCCACTTCCTCTCTTGGAGTAAATGCATTAACTGCAAGGGAGCAGATACTGTCATTGKCTTGGTTTCCTTTGGGAGGTTCAGAAACACTAACCAGGAAGGCTTTCAGGGGAGCCTTTTCCCCCTTTCAACTAGCTTAAGTCTCACACAGAGAAGACTCACTCCATAAGATCACTTGCCTCTTATGGTGGGTTTTTCCCCTGATTCTTTAACAATTCTGATTCTTATGAAGTGTGATAAATTGCTAAAATACTTGTTAGTAACTTTCCCAGTTTTTTTTCAAAATATTAAAATTCTCCAAATAATTCAGCATGAGATAAAAAGTTTAACATTCTTAGAAGAGGATTTAATAACATATTAATAAATTTGTATGTAGAATTGATTTATTAAATAACATATTTTAAGAGAAAACCATAAAAATGTGTATCAATTATTCCAAATGTGTTTAGTAAAGGCCTGGGCTGGGCAGTCCTGAATGATGGTGTAGATTCTACTCTTTCTGAGTGGACTAAACTGCTTTGGAATAATCTGTGTTCCTTTTCATTTTCTTCTCTTCTCTTCTGGTAAAAACAGGAAGAAAAAGAAATCAAGTCATGGAAACCTTCTTTCCCTTTTGGTTCTATGTTTTATCTTACATGGAACTAAAAGTCTCCAGAAAAGGAAAATATCTATTTAGTTAATTATTTATAATGTTCCATTTTGAATCCTCCTAAAGTCATTCACAGACAGAGGGACATTAAACACCTAGGTGTCTTAAAGTGAATTGTTAGGGCTTTTAGAAATTCCATTACATGTTTTTATTTGTTTATTTTTTACTTTGGTTACCACATCATAAAGTCAAAGAGCAAATAAATTCATATGTGCAACAATTCCTGCAATTGCACAGGAATTTGGTAACATAAAATGTGGGAAACAATTTCTTCACTTAAGAAACTAAACACTTGGGAAGTTGCCATCGAACTATGTCTGAAAATGGTTTCTGTTTGCATGCTTGTGAAGTTTTTGATAAGACACTTGTTCATGGTCTTCTTTAAGAGCTACTCYGCTGATCTGGGTTCCCAAGTGAATTATTTTTAATTTTGTGATTGTTACCAGGAAGACTCCTGTTTTCTGACTGGGTTGGGGCTTACCTAACCCATTCTCAACAACTCTAGTCCTTCYGACATTTCACTCTGTGGTTGACAACACATAAGCCAGTGAGATATAATAGAATTGCATGGTTTGAAATAATATAGGAATAAAGTAAAGTGATGTAGGAGGAATTCATGAAAATGGCTGACTAGAAAGGAATGATAACAAACATTTTTAGATTTTCAGATCAGTGTGAACTATACTACATTCCACATAATTCTGCACTCTGCTCCATTCATAWACAGTACTTCAGGTTATAGCTTTTCAAAATTCCACTAGAGCCACTGCCAATTTGGAGAGGTTGGGAAAAGGCCAAATGCTGCCATATATAACAAAGAATTGAATGTGGAAAAATGCAAGTGGCAATGTCTCAGCTAGCAAAAGCAGAAAAAAAATTTGCCAAGCAGGAAAACATCCATAGCAGTCTCAAAGGTGAGACAAGAAAGATCACAAGAATAAATGAGTTTTGTGTGTTAAGATCAGTCTGTAATTTCTCCATTAAGATCAGACAAACAAGTCTCCTTGGCTGCCCATTTTGTGTATTCCATATGGGGTTTGTGGAAAAGAGAATGGTTTGGCCTCCAAGCTGCACTCTCAAAAATATGAAATTCTTAAAGTTAACTCTAAAATTATCCAAAGAGCATGAAAGATTTCTGCCATATAATATGGATGCCACTGGCACAGGATGAATAGGACTTTACTCAGGAAAGAACCAGAGAAATAAATGTAGCTCATTTTCTTTCACTTTGGGATTTTTAGGTAGGATACATTTAATCAGACGCAGAGCTTTAAATACAAAAAATGTTTGACATTTCCATTATAAACATATAATAAAATTTGTGAGACCAGTGTTCTGTTGTATTTATTCACAATCTCAACTCCTGACTGACCTACAGGACATTATCAATAATTTGATGCAAAGATAATTAATATCCTTGTAAAATGAAATATATTATTCTCCTATATCACTTTTAAAAGACAAAGTCTATAAGGAAAATTTCCCTTAGTGATGAGCAAATTGCATAAATGCTTTGCATCTTCAAAAGTCAATATTTTCACTAGTTTGCAGGGGAGGACCAGACAGATGTGATTCACATTAGCAAGTATAGGCAAATGCACTTGACCTTTAGGATCATTTTCTCTTCTTTGGCATTTATATTTCAACCAAAACATTTTCCAGGTTCTTTTTAAATTACATTTGCAAAGGAATTATGTTGACTGCATTTTCAGTTGCCCAAAATAATACACTACAGAAAATTTTCAAAGATGGTCTATGGGTTAATATCAACTATAGGAACAATTATATAATCGCAGTTTTAAATGTCTGACCTTAAAATTGATAGACTATGCAAACGGTCACAAGTAGTTTGCATATAATCTGAAAAGTACTCACAAAAATCAATTTTAATTTTATTGAAGTATAATGAATTTCATTTGGTCTCATATCAGTTTTCTCATGCCATAATTATAGTCAAAATATTATCCATTTATTTTTTCCCCTAGGCAAGTAAAAACTATGTTAAATTTCTTTCATTGATAGGTCAACAGAACCAAATAGAAACATAAAATGGCAGTCTGTGAGATCAGGAATATTATCTGTCTTGTGAAATTTGCAATTTCAGTGGCTGAAACACATCTATAATATAATACATATTCAATAAATTTTTAAAAAATCAATAAATGCTAAAATAAAGTGAGAAAATACATGGAACGTATTTTTTTTAAGAATTGTTCATATGCAAATGCAAAAAGTTACTGAATTTTAGGGAACAATGGAAATTTTAATCAATTAATCAAATAGCTCATGCTTATTATATATTTTGCAAATTTGACAAGGGGAGCCATTATGAATTGCTTTCACTTTTGTTTAATCTTTAAAAGCCTAAAGAAATAATTTTTTTCTAAATGAAAATGAAACTCTCATCAGAAATTTACAAAAATGAGTCTAAAAAATTGGTAAAATAAAAATATTAAAAGCCCTACCATAAAATTACAAACATATTAGCTACTTCATTAAAAAGGAGTATCTTTTCTTGGTGCTAAAACTGTTATTCTTTGAATTTTATTCATTTCCATGAAGCAAAATTGGCATATATTTGAGTTCAAAGGGCAGTTTCTAACAAAAAAATACCAATTACTTAACATTTAACACTCTGCAAGCAGTTTCTCAGAAGACTAACTCAATAAATGATGTCCATTTACAAACAAGAATGCTATCATGTGTATGTATGCTGCAGCAGAATACACATATCAGGCAGCTGCTTAATCCATCAACCTTGATTACCTACTGTGTGCCCAGCCCAGAGTCAGATAGTGAGTTCTATGCTATTTGTTTATGACTGATCATCAATCACAATGTTTGCTCTACATGGTTAACATTTTTTTACTACTACCCAAATGAATGCTGGCCTCTTTACATGATTTATTTAAGTAAGTAAAAAAGTGTGGCCAATTCAGGATTACCTCACATTTATTTAGCAGCCCAGTTTCTTGCAGCCGTGACCAGATGCTCTGTATTCGTCCAGCATGCTCAGGGTGGGTGGTGGAACTGCCACAAACACACTGGTGTTTCAGCATCAGAGAGTCATAGGCAATTCCTTCAAGACAAAGAAAACAAACATGTAATGGAACAGGTAGTGGATACACACTGGACGATACGTGATCACTCCAAAAAGTTATTCTTTTTAAAATGAAATTTACAAAGAAAGAACATCTATATCCTTAAGACTCCATAGGAGGATTTAATCGGTGTATCTGCATATGTCTGCAAATATCTCCATCAGTAGATTAACTAGTACTCAGACCTTAGTTTAGTAAATCTGTAAAGTGATAAAGATGGTGACATTTTAGGAAACTTCAGATTAAAAAAAAGAATGCCATAGTTTTACCAGTATGTAAAATCATTGTTAACTGGGGGCAGATAATTCAATTTAGTAGAAGTTTTCATTTTATCATTCAAGCCACAAAATGAGCTGGTTTCTACATCCTGAATTTATTTAATGAGTAAATTCCACTTTTCCTTTGGATCAGGGTACATCTTTGTAATAAACTGAACAATTTTCTAACTCTTTTCCATTTTGTTTAGAAATGTCATCAAAGATGGGTACTCAGTTTCTGCTTATGTTTTCCTCAAAATTTGTAGCATTTTATAAAATATATGACTATTGTAAATCTATGAGATATATATGTCCCATATATTATGAGACATTTGAAGTAGTTCTTTTAAAAAATAAATGATTGTTGTAATTCCTTTAGTACAGAGTTCAGTTACTTAATGAATAAAATCTATTAGAAGGTTGTATATTTCATGTTTGAAAAATTTGGTGAAATAAATTATCAAGAGTATATAAAAAAGGACTTTTTAAAGGAACATATTAGATGATAATTACAACTCTGGTTCATTTTAGGATTTCCACCCATAACCACTTCCCTTGAGGGAGGGGAGAACATGTTACTTACAAAATTGACTAACATAAGATTATTTAACAAATCTGTTCTAATATTTGACCATCAAACTACATTATGGGGAACAGGGACTGAAGTATCCATGATAAGAAATTAAAGAGCCAAAAAAAAAAAAAAAGATCTATTCAGGAACAGATAAGTACCAAAATTTGACTTACTTACATTACTGTGTTAAAGGAATGTTTCTCAGAGGGGAAAAGTATTTGCCCCTGAGTATACCAAAATCCTACAGAAAAATATAACATATGCATTTTGAAACCATGTGGAAAAAATTATGTATAATAAAAAATATCATTTTGCTGGTTCAAATAATTTCCATTCTTAAGAGTCAATGGCTTCAGAACCCATCTTTATGCCTGCTCCTGGCTTGTATGTTTTCATCCTTAGCCCTGACCTCTCTTCTGAGTAATATACTATAAACTTACCTATTCAATTGCCCACCCAAAGCTTCCATTTGGATGTCTCATGGATTTCATAAAGTAAGAATGTCTTCAATTTTGAATTCATGATCTTAAACCACACACAGTGTTCCTTATTTTAACAAAGGACACTAAGATCCATCAATGAATATGCCAGAAACCTTTGTGTCCTCTTGACATTCCCTCTTCTATGAACCAAAGGAGTATCTGTTTTCCCTCCCAGACAGATCTTGAATCACTGACTTCTTATCTCCACTGCCAAAACCATGCACAATCCAAGCAACTATTATCACTGATTTGAACTCCTAAGACAGCCTCATAACTGGCTACCTGACTTTCACTCTATGCCATTCACCACAAGACAGTAGCAATTTTTTGCTTAAACATTTCAATGACTTCACTGAGACAGAAATTCCTCAAGGTCAGCATCCATAGGCTCCTCTCCATCTCTCCAGCTTCATCACTTTACCCCTCCCTCCTTTGATCTCAGTTTCTCCTACAAAGGGCTCCCTTCCTCTCCTTAAAAAGGTCAAAGTCCCATCAGCCTTTGTACATACTATTCCATCTGGGCCAGAAATTCTTCCTTCCTGATCTTCATAACTATAGCTCCCAACTGGCTAACTTCCTCTTCATCCTTCATGGTGTAAAATTTTAACACCATGTCCTCAAAAAAGCATTCCCTGAGAACTCTAAGTGGGATCTCCTCCTCCTCTATCTGGTCTCATAGCATCCTCCATCTCTTTCGGAGCAATGCTCACATTTATGTAATTGCTGCATGTAATTTTGTTAACTGTACATTTTCTTCACTAAATGTTAAGATATAGGAAAGGACAGGCTATAGTATTGTTTATCTTTGAACTTCCAGTGTCTGTCACAGTAGGCCCTCAAAAGTACATTGTAATGAATGCATGAAAGACAAATAAGTGGATGGATTCAAGAACTAGGCCAGGTATTTCCATGATTCAGCCTTCCTTGGTAAATCTAATCAGTGGGTCTCCTTGGCATCCTGAAGTTCACGCAGGCTTATTTYTTTAATATTCTACTTTTTAAATTTTACATGCCTTATCTTCCAACCAGCAAGTGCCTCTACTACAGGGATCTATTTTACTCAGCTTTGWATGTCTACAAAGTATTTTTCACAAAGTCCATTTTTTCCTTTGTATAAAACCCAACATAAAAAAAATATTTTTCAATAAGGTCAAATGGAATACTTTAAGATAGGCAGAAAAGAAAGCAGGTAGAAGAATGACATTCAGAACACAAAATTCATGAGACATGTCTTCACAATTCAAATTTCTCAAGCATTTATGAGTTGCTATTTCAGAACAGGAGCTGTTTAATGTATTTTCAACTACAGTTTTGTACTACAAAAAAATAAATGATATACTAATAATACATAAACCAAAAGTAGAGTATTGTTTTGTTTTGAAAATATATTCTTCAAGAGTAGGAATTTTGATCATCATGTTGCTTAACTATTTCTACTTCATCTCTTAACATATCCAAGCTCACTTCCATCATAAGTTTTCCACTTTTAACATCATTTTCCTCATAACTCACTGCCAAGAAAAAGAAAATTACAAAACAAGTTGTGGTAGTTAGAAATTATTGCCAGGGATCTGGAGATTATAATAGAAAGTCCAGGAGCTTTTGGAAAGACATTCGAATTTAAGGGGAAATAAATAAAACCTGGATTCCCCAACCTTCACTGCCTCATCTTAATGATGTATCAATGAGGTGCTAACAGGTAGACTGGAAGGTGAGACTTTAACCTCATCCTTCATCTCTACTCCTTTCCTCTTTTTTTTATTCCCTCTCAAAACCAGGGACTTATAGGGTGAAAAATAAGCCTACTCTTTTCTTCAGGATTCATATGGAATTCTATTTTTCCTTGACTCTTTCTGTCCCACTGGTTGTCACTGGCAACAAAAGCCAATGGATCACTCTTTCTCTTGATTAATAGGACAAAAGTTAAAAATTAATAATTGGAAAARTATATGAAGGAGTCTTTTTTTAGTCAGCTTTTTCCCTGCTGCAACTAAAAGATCTGACCAGAACAACTGAAGAGGAGGAAAAGTTTATTTGTGAGCTCACAGTTTCAGAGGTTTTAGGCAGCTGGCTCTATTCCTTGGGCCTCAAAGTGAGGCCAAACATGATGAAGGAAGAGTGTGGTGAAAAGAAGCARCTCACCTGATGATTAGGCAGCAGAGAGAGAGAGAAACTCCACTTTCCAAATACAAATATATACCCCAAGCCATACTCCCTATGATCCCCCTCTTCCAGCCACATTTCTCCTGCCWCCAGTTACCACTCAGTTAACTCCATCAGGGATCGATTCACTGATTAAGTTAAGGCTCTCACAACCTAATCATTTCCCCTCTGAACCCKCTSACATTGTCTTACACATGAGCTTGGGGGGACACCTCACATCCAAACCATAACAAGTCTTAAAAATTTTTACCTGTATTTTAAACCTAATAGTAAGTTTCATACCAAACAAACAAACAAACAAAACAAAACAAACCCTCCTCAAAATTTTGAATATTTTAGATAAGCTTGGAATTTGGGCTTTCTCTRGGTTATTTTATTAAATGAGATAATGTATTTGAAACATTGAATACAGTGTCTTTCCCTTCATAAATCATTACATGTAGGTAAGTCATTTTTTAGCTCGTGGAATCTATTCATGTCTATAATAGGGTTTATGTTCAGTCTAGTGACATSTGGTTGAGTAGAGCTGGTTTATAGGGAGGAGTCTAGCATCTTTAGATGCCTTCTTCTGGTTCCTAGCTACTAACATTCAGCTAATTTGCATTTCTGGAAACTGCCTGAAGTTTCACACCTTCTAAAGACATTTACTAAACACTATTGAAGCTAAGGGAGAAGAGGGAGGACTAGCACAAAACAAAGTTATATGACATGGCATTGTAACACATAATGATGGTTCACTATGTTCAAGGCATTGGCAATTTCAATTTATTACCATTAAACTTACAATCTAGTAGTTAAAGTGAGACACGTACAAACATATGACATGTATTTGTAAAACTTCCGTATGCTAAGGAAGGAAAAAATGTGGGATGAGTAAGAGGAGAATTCTCAAAAACAAAAATATTTAAATGACAAAATGACTTACAAATGATGGAAGGTGAGGCCATTAATAGAATGGACAAAAGGAACTACAGTCAGTGCTCTCTATCTATGAATTTCACATCCACCCAGCGATTAAAAAATATTATTGGAAAAAATTACATCTGTACTAGACATGTACATACTTTTTTTCTTATAGTATTTTTTTCTAAAAAAAAACAGTAAAATAACAATTTACATAGCAATTACATTGTACCAAGTGTCAAAAATAATCCAGAGATGATTGAAAGTATACAGGAGAATGTGTAAAGGTTATATGCAAAAACTAGGCCATTTCATATAAATGTCTTGAGCATCTAGGGATTTTGGTATTCTTGGAGGTTCCTGAAAACAATCCTCCACAAATATCAAGGAATGAATGCATTTTGAAACAAAGATCATTTCTAACAATCTTCAAATACTCATAGTAGCCATTTTACTTTTCCTACATATTGTTCCCATCTATCCATAAAGCTTGCCTTATTTTTTCTATTTCYACCCCACTCTCTACATTCTACTACATTTAATATTTGCTATAAGACCTTTGATTTGGAATACATAAATAAAAGCATCAAACTGTACAA